ATAATGCGTCCCTCCGAGTTGAAAGGAGAACAGTTTAAATTATTTAATGAGCTGGAAAATTTTGTGGGCTCCTGTTTATTTTCTCCCTTTCTAGTCTGATTGACCCCACCGCAAACTTTGCCGGCGAGTAGAAACAGTTTTTCTTGGCGGGGAGGTTGTCGGATCTGTGACAGGCCGTGCCGCGTACTTAAATGAGGTGCGAGACACACGAGTTCACGCTATTGTTATGTAGAGTTGAACAATCGCTTGCCGGCGGTATCATTGTCGCTTTGTTTCTGTCAGTCGGGGTTGAGTGGTCCCGGTCAGCTTGTGTCTATCGGTCCGACTGTCTCTGCATAATAAGCACTGAAGACACCATTATACTTATTAACTACAGACATAGGCCGACAGGTAATTATCGCGGGACGGATCAAAGGGATAGGTGCACCTAGGTGTGCCGGGGTGTCTCCCGGACAGTCAGTGGCTTCCGTGCTGTGATACTGTACAGTACGCGCTTCTGTCACGCCTTGTTCGGAACAACACGCTACCTTGGCTTGGCTTCGGACCCAGAGTTGTGCTTGAAGCGTGGATCGTAGCTTGGCGTCGTGCGTCGTTTTTTGCGTGTGAATCCGGTACCATTATTGGAGTACGCCTTTGCAACATTATACAGGTAACGTGTATTACTATACTAGTATACTTCAGTTACTATGCTTCTTTTCTTTGCGTGTATTTTCTTGTGTATATCTGGACATTATTCAAACTCCGGGTTTGGTAGAAGCGTAGCACCTAGGACTATACCTAGGACACCTAGCTATTGTCGTCACTTTGTATGCCGATGAGTTTATTTCATTCAACAAGCCCGTTTACACTTGGTGTTGACTTGGCAAAGAAAGAAGCGTTTACCGTCCAAGCGCGAACCGCGTGCGTGTGTTTGAAAAGCGCTCACAAAACAATACAAGAAAGGTGTAACCCCTCGTCCCACGTCTATGCATGTTTAACGTTGGCCTGCCATTTGTTGTTGCTTACAAGTGGATGCATTTACATACTGACGACTTCTTGGTACGTTTTGCTACGTTTGAAAGGTGCCCGTTTTGAAGCTTTAGAAGCTCTTAGTTGCCACTGGAAGTTTCTGGCGTGACCACAAAGTTAGGAGTTACGTCCCCCAGCCCCTATTAATTTTGTCGGACGTCACTGAGCTCGTTTTTCATGTCGTGTGGGCAGCAGAGGGCCGCTCGCTGTGGGGAAGCCGTGTTTCCTAACTCGGCATCGGGCTCTCCCCGACACACGGTTTGTTTATCGGGGGGAGAGATAATTGCCATGCGCTCATCCATCTGTTCACTTTACCACAGGGCGCGGCCAGGAGCGGACACCTCTTCAACCTGTGGTCTCTGTACTGAGTGGGAATCGAACCAGTGACCCCCAGCATCTCTGCTGCAACGTGTTCTGTATCTATCTGGATTGTTTCTGATAACTGAGGATTCCAGCCATGGGTTTGAGTTTTACACCAGTTCTGTGGATGGTTCTACTGTTGATGTTCTTCGACGGACGGAGCAGCGCGATCAAATGGCTGTAAGTACCTTTCAAGTTTTTAGATAATTTTATACAAGTACTGCTGCCTGGGAGCGTATCTTTGGATATGTAATTTCGTGTTTTACTCACACATAATTGTTGATTTTCTTGCTATACTTTGCGCTGTATTTCCGAGGTACATGTAGTTCTAAGCAAGGAGATAATAATAAACCTCCTTGTTCTAAGGTACTATACATAGAAACAATTTATTGCACCAAGCATGAAGATATCACTGCTTTGAACAAATTAGTATGTACAATATTTTCTACGATGGCACGGTTCCAGAAATATAGGAAGATTTCCCTTCTAAAAAGACGAAACACAAGCGTGGATCTCGCTAGGCAAACGTTTGCTATTATTTCAGTGGGGGAAACCCGATTGTTTATGTTGTCCATTATGTTAATACCGCGAGATAGGAAGGGCTCGGGCTTTACAGAAATCCCCTGGAGACAGAGGGGCTATAGCCCCGCCTTTATAGCCGTGTATATAGCGACTGTACTGCTGACGTTATGCTGAAAACTCCTGTCTTTGGTTACGATATAACGTTCCCGTCTCACGCACGGAGGATAATCCCTGGTGTTGAGTACATGTTGTCGGGTTGGAATACGAGGAATTTTGCAAATCTCTTGGGCAAAGTCAGATGCGTGCAGGAGTCGGTAGTGATAGCTGTGGTCATTAATCATGATGGTGGACACACACACACGACGGTCAAGACCACTCCGAGTTTTATAGCCACAGATGTTTCAACAACCGCTGGTTTAGTGGCGAGGTTTCTATCCATGCAGTAACACTAACATGCGACGTACATTCAGTAGCAGGATTCTAGGCGCCAATACTAGAATTCTCATAGACATAGACAAATGAAAGGTACCCTAGTAATCAAGTTTACTGAGATAATTTTATGTTCTTACGACGTAAGTGGCCTGCATTCCTTGACAAGACTTTATTCTTTGGGCGTGTTGTCTTGTCCATGCATGTCAATGCCATTCAAACATACGAAACGGTACAAAAGCATGATTCTAGACAAAAATCTTAAAGAATTCTCATACTAAACGATATGAGAAAGTATCCAGTAAATTTATGATCTTACGACATAAAAGTGGGCTGCATTCTTTGACAAGACTATTTCATTCCTTGACAAGGTACAGACGACTTTTCGGTTGTTCATCCTGACTGTCTGCACGGTCTATAAACTCTCGGTTTAATGCTGACAGAGTCACAAACTTTAAAACCTCAAGAACAGTTGTCACGCAATTGCAAATGTTGGTTGACACGACAGCAATTCGGTACAAATTTGGCACCATTTGTAACAATTTAACAATTTCAATTTCAAAGGACAACGTTTAAGATTCTCTATTAGATACATTTTGACCGAAGGATGTGCAAGAGAAAGGAAAAAATTCCCCTACGGCTACAGAACATAGAGCAAAGGATCAGAGCCAAGAATGTCCTTGACTGCTAAAAATTCAAGGTCACTACTTGTACTGCTGAAGGGTAGAGGACATCCGTTATAGTCGTCGAGGGAGAAAATTTTATGACAGCGGAAGCAGATAATGATGATCTTTCAGCAGCGTCGTTCTGTGAAATTAGACGAATATCTTGGTCATAAACTATTATTTACTCCTCTGTCTGGACTAATAACATGTGTTGGGTAAGCCAGAGGTAGGAAGTCGTGCCAATGCCGTCCTTTCAGGCCGAATTTTTCATGCCTAACTTGCTTTAATAGGCGGTATCTGTGGAACCATTTGTGCAGTTTACTTCGCAATACCTCAACAAAGGCGTAGATTCTACACATGCCTTCTCCGGACAGATGGTTGGGTACAGATAACTTCAGACATCAAAGTCCTAAATCTTTACAACCAGAACCCTCGCCTAAGTGTCTTAAGTTGGATTCCGCGCGCTGACAGGACCTGCGTGCCGGGCATATCTGACCGTGGCGGTGCGGGTTGTCACAAAATACCGGATCTTGATGATTACAAACGATCTTTGACAACACAACAAGGAGTTCTCAAATGTAGTATAATGGCAGAGGATGGACGGTTGAGTGGTGTCAGTTTTAAATCGGTGGAGTGTAGCCTTCCTTTTATATTCAAGATGGGAGGGGGGGGGGTACCCAGGATGTATGACCGTCAAACGCAAAGAAGACAAACAGTTCGCCCTTAGAGGTTTCCTCAGTATTTAGCACTTTGTATCCGGCGTTACCTGGCCGGCGGCGAGAGAACTTGGGTTTCGGGATGTTTGATCGCCGAGACTTCCTCGTAGGAGCGCCCCCATCCGGTCAGAGTAGCCCCGGGCACTTGTAACAGACCATATCTCTGTCAGCACCGCAGAAAAACGTATACGACAAACAGTCAGTAACGTATTTTCCCAAAGGCATCACGACTTTAATATGGCGACACTTTCCTGTGGAAGCATAAATCGTCAGGCATACCTTAGATGGGAAGTTTTGATTGTGAGGGTACATTTGCCCCCCAACACCTGTTCGCATGGCAAATTATAGAACAGTAAAAACACATTAACGGAGTCTGAATTGTTTGTGTAGCTCTGGCTCATCAACTTTAGCGGAACGCGTATCGGCCTCGCTCGTTCTCGCGATAAACAAGACCATAACTCACGGAGAGTACAGCCGAGCTATAATGGGGTCAGCGGCAGATCAACCATAGGACAGGAATGTATCTTTTCCTCAAACCATCAAAATAGATATTATAAAACACCACTTCAATGGTAGACGAAACATAGAATGTAGACTCTCATTGGGTGGATTTTATCCACCAAAACAGGAACGACAGAGCACATGTATTTCATTTCGCGTTTAGGTTTGAAGATTTGAGGTCGACATCTAGATGTACCGCCATGATGACAAGTTTGTGACATTGACAGACACTACTGTCACGGAAGATACGGTCGTCCACAACAAAAAATCGTCATGTTTTGTCAGATATTATTATGTTAGAAGCCCTTTTCCTGGTAGCTTTATGCATCTCGTCTTTTGTCAACCTGTTTCTAAGACCGTGTTTCATTCGTCCTTGCCAGATCAAGGCACGCCGTCACTTCAACATGGCGCCTTGTGTCGTGTTCGGAGCAGAGGTTACATCAAAACGCTAAGTAGGACAAGTTTTTTGGCCGCGCTCACGTCCATCAAAAGTCAGGGAAATGTTTGCGTTTGGCGCCTTGTAGGCTACTGGGTGGTCGTTACATAAACCTCTGGTAAGAAGAAAAAAAGATGATTTATTTAAAAAAGTAATGTCACTTATATCTCAAAAATATCTTAAACGTTATGATACACCAACAAGGCATGTAGAATGGCTTATTTACGCGAAATCTTAAGTTTTTCCACATCAATTCCAATAAGTTAAGAGAAAGTGTATCTGACCAAGACTAAGACCTCACACACTGCGTGTCATACAACTTCAGCTAGCCACTTCGTCACCAACTTTCTACCGTCAGTCATGTACGGATCGCACACGAAGTGTTTAGTGACGTGTCCCCTGCCCTGTGAGATCTGAAGGCTTAACCACACGTCCATTCTCTCGGAAAATTTCATCTCAGTCATCATTAAACGTTTCACGCACGAGGTTTCAGTCAAGTCGTAACCTTCGGTAAGCCTGCCTCGAGGCTAGCTTATGTACCGGCGTCACTTGTGTCCTGGCTTCAGACTAGCTTTAGAAGAAAACCCTCAGGGAAAGGACCGGAGAAATGCTCTCTTTGATAGGGATCAACCTAAAAGAACATTTCATATCACAGTCTCAATGCAATGTCGTCGGCTTAGGTTCAAGTTATAATATGTCATTTTCATGTATCGTTTAAATTATTTCATAAGTCAACCAATCTATTAAGCAAGCTTAAGGCAGATATGAGCCGTTTTTTGCTGATACAGATCAACTGAAATATGACAGAGAAATGAAATAGTGTTAGATGGAATTCTGTTTGGCATTTCTGTTTATTGAGAAAGCCAACCAACCAACCAACCAACCAACCAACCAACCAACCAACCAACCAACCAACCAACCAACCAACCAACCAACCAACCAACCGACCTTTTTGCTCATCTAGTTGAACTGAAATGTAACAATTTGTCTCTTTCCAGATCTATCGCTGACGTTGGGAAGAACCTGTCGTGGAACAAGACGAGCTCGTGCCGGAAGGTGAGCGGTTTCGTGCCGGAGCAGACGCAGTTGTGCCGCCGGACGCTTGAGGTGATGCCCGCGGTGGAGTACGCCGCCGAGGCCGCCCGGAAAACCTGCCAGGAACAGTTCGGCAACCGGCGGTGGAACTGTTCGTCCATCAAGAAGGCACCGCATTTCATGAACGATTTGGAAAAAGGTAAGAAGTCATAATTTTTCTGCGCTAAGTCTCATACGTCGTACGGTTTTCACCAATGTTATGAGAGAACCAACCGTCGATAAGATCTTTAGAATATATGACAGTTTTTTTTCTGTCACAAAATACGCATACTTGGTACTATGAGATCTCTTTAACTCAAAAATGGCTAGGATTTCTGGTCGTAAAACTGTCGCACGACTGTATGCGACAGAGTCCTTACCCGAGCAAACGTTAGCTTTTATTATCAGCGGTCATTTCGTACGATTTGTGACCTTCTGGCATTTTCCTGACACAGCAAACCACGCGACATGCCACCCAAGGAGCCCACATTGGCCCTTTTCAAAACAAATGTAAGAAAAACTGCAATAAATTTGTGCCGATTGGATGGTCTCTCCAAACAGATAGTAGTACAACAAGCAGTAAATTACGCGTTTTCTGTATAGACTGCAGGATTTTTGTACATTGTATCTGTCAGAATGTTTTCTGACGAGGTTATCGTTAGAGGTAAACAAGTGTCATGTAATTGTCGACTGATACGGCGGACACACGTAGGCTGATGTCGGTCTTGGAACGAAGGTCTGTCCGAAATTTCCCGCTGTCTCTCTTCGACTAGGAATCCGTCGTAATCGGTTTACCTAGAATACTAATTTTTGAATCATAAATGAATATCTAAGTTAGGGTACTTAGTTATACAACGGAAGCTTGAAAGAAGAAGAGAAGACAGAACAGAACGTGCTTTCTAGCCAAAAAGGTTTCCGTTTAAATTGAAAAAGGATCCTACTTGTTACCAAACAAACTGGCTGGAGTACTGGTTCTCGCCGCTATAAATACGTGGCGCTTTTGTGGCGAGAACACAATCCCAAACGTGGCTAAGTTTGTATCCCCGGCCCCCTCGTCCGATTCATTACTGGGATTGATTTTCTTATCCAGACAGCTTCCTTGGCCTAGATCCACCAACATTCTAACACAAAATTGGAGTTCATGATTCGTTCGTTTTCTGACGATTTTTTTGTCTCTTCTCCATTTTGCCAGGCACGAAGGAGTCGGCTTACGTCCACGCCCTGTCCTCAGCAGCCGTGGTGCACACCGTGGCACGAGCATGCGCGGCAGGGTACCTGACGGCCTGCACATGCGCGAGAAACCCCGGCGAGAAGCCTGACGGGAACTACACGTGGGGCGGGTGCGGGGACAACCTGAAGTTCGGGCTGGAGTTCGGCAGGCGGTTCGCTGAGGCGCCCATGAGGAAGAGGAAACGGTCCCACACACAGACTCTCATGAACCTGCACAACAGCGAGGCTGGGAGACTGGTGAGTCATGCAGCATATTTCATCCATCCATCATATTTCACTCCATACCATAGCTGTGGATGAAACATATTGTTTTCCTGTGTTTCTTCTCATTTCTTTTTCTTCTTTTCTTCTTCTTCACCTGCCATTTCGTTAAATGGATTCAGTTTCTTTATTTTTGGACCAAATGACCTGAAATTTGGTATGGAAGTGGCCCCTGAAACATACAAAAAAGAGACCAACATAAAGAGCATGGCTTGTTACAATCTTTCCCGATTGTAACTGATTAAGATAGATGTGCATCCCTAGAAATTAAAGGGGTCTTCACAGATACCTTTCCACTGACGTGATTTTTAAGACAACCGGGATGACTTCACCGACTCATAAATTGTAGAGCGGCTTCCGTGGCGGGAATGTTACATATGACAGCCGCCCGATTGTTTTCTGACCTCTTCTTGGCGCCAGTCAGAATCGTATACTTCAGGACAGGGTGCTGATGATTCATTATGACACATACACGGTGCAGAATGGAGCGGGGTGTTTTCTTAGTCTAACTCATCGTCCAAAAACGGCACCCAGGTCAGGCCAGCTTTGAATACAAAGATGGCTATGAGGAAATCTCTCATAATCTCTCCTCGGATGAGCTAAATTTAACTGATTGCATGACTCCTATAGGAGAACAATACGTCTAAGAATAGAGGAGACATCTTCGAGATCAACGCTGTGGCCCTTTGACTCTGCTCACGAGTGGAAGTAACGTATGACATTGGAGGATACAAAAAAGATCAACTAGTCAGAAGTTAAACCACAGGATTCGTGTCTGAGCCGCAATTCTCTGTCCCCCCTCCAGCTAACATTCCAAACGAACTGCAATCACCGACTTAAGGGCAGAAAACGGCTTTTGTGAACTGATAATGGGCGGTAATCATCATTTGTCTCCTCTTATTAGCTTCCTTAGTCCCCCACACGTACAACATAACCCCTCATTATGCGCACCCCGCCCCTCCATAATTATAAGGCTCTTTTACTGGCTGATATGACCTCTGGGTTACATAGCTGTTTTTCTTAGACAACAGAACTGTACTTAAGAAGCACTACAACAACATGTTCAGATAAAGACCATACGAATTCAACATTAAAGTGTTCTGAAAAGTTCTAAATGTTCCCTTTGTTCGTCGTTCAGAAAAAGATGGAAGTAGATCTTGTGGTTACTTATTGTCGCTTTAGGCTAGCTTAGGTACTAGTACATTTTTACAAAATGAATCACAGGAAGGCTTACCCCCCCCCCCCCAAAAAAAAAGTCCCAAG